AGATCAAGCAAAGGTATGATCTTGACCTGATGAGTCTGGTTAAATATAAGACTCATGTCAAATAATGATAAACCTGATTCAGATTTTAAAGTCAAATAACCTGGGTTTGATCTAACCTTTTCAGAATACTATATATGATAAAGCACAAATTTCACAAAACGTTAAAAATAGAATTAAAATATATTATCAAACAGATTACAATGAACCAACTATTAAATCTATTCTTAAACAGGAATATCAAGGATTAGAAATGTGAATTTATAATGATATTTATAATTTTATATACCAATTGGATGGTGAACTATACCAGCATTTTTTTGAAGCAAATGAATTATGAATACTTTAAACAATTTAAAAGAGAAATTAATAGGTTTGAATATGAGATAAAAATTAATGAAAGTACAAATGAATTAATTCAAGTAATTTGGATGTATCCTGAACAGAAGTGACAATATTGTAGGTTTCTAGATGTGATGACAACACATACAACTGATACAAGGTTAATCGATTTGATATGCCATTTAGGATCTTTACTGGTGTAAATAATTTTAGCCAAAGCATATACTTTGCTGAAACTTTGATGTACTAAGAAATAATTGATAGTTTTACATAGACATTTAAATCATTTCTTAAAATAGTCAATAATCATCCATCCAGGGTAATACTTACAGATGAAGATAAAGCAATTTCTCATGTTATACAAATTACAAAATACTTTTAGTCACAATAGTAAACATGTATTATATATATGGCATTTATGGAAAAACGTAATTAAAAATTTAAATAGTACATTGGTACAAAAGCTTTTTATGAATGCACAAAAGAATATGAGATTGAGAGTTTTATTATTAAATAGCAATAATTTAAAGAAAATTTTCCAGATTTTAGGACACATTTAGATAGAATAGATAAAGTGAATCGAAAGAAAATGGGCATCCTGTCAAATGTGTTAGGATGCGTGTTATGACATAATATCTTAATGATCATCGTGATTCCTGAATCAGTAACAAACTGCTAATGATCTAATCAGCTGTTTGCTTTGATTGCTTAACTTGTAATTTTGACACCCAGCATTCCAGCAAACAACTAAATGGCATAACGGTGTAAACGGTCAAATATCAAGCATGAGAAGATGATAAAATAGGACCCTGAAGAATACATATACAACTCAGATCCAGACCCAAAATTTTAATATAACTTTATACGCCTAATTTTATTAGAAGCTTTATACAAAATCATCACATAAGTTCAAATTTTATTATAAATTATACAATTATAAATCTGAGTTTATATAAAAAAAAAATTTTTAAAGAAAAATTTCAAATAAATTTTATTGAAAATTTTAATAAATATTATTAAAAACTATTTAAAAATTCTAACAAATACTTAAAAAATTTTTTTAAAAAAAATTATTAAAAAAAATTATTAAAAAATAACTTAAATAAAATTTTTAAACAAAATTGCATGTTAAAATTTTAAATACCCGATAGATATTGATGCCCAATATGTATAATATAGTAAGTTTTATGCAAAAATTTGGGTGTATACTACAAAATAAAAGAAAATACATTTTGTTATATATCTCACCACCCAGTGATCGTAAAAAGATGAAACACAGCTCGTTGGATTCGTCTTGACAAGACGAATCGAATGGTAGTAGTTTCGTGTTTCTAGGTGTGATAGATGATGAGCTATACCACACATCGGCACTTTGTATTTTCGTCTACTGTGCATTTTTACATTTTATCACATAACTCGGCATCTATCGCGCCTAGAAATATGAAACTACCACCATTCGACTCATCGTATTGAGACGAATCTAATAAGCTGTGTTTCATTTCTCTATGATCACTGGATGCTGAGATATATAATAAAATGTATTTTTTTTAATTTTGTAAATGAATTTTAAAAAAATTTCTTCATTTTTATTAAAAAAATGTCTTTAAACGAACCCTTAAAAACTTCTTAAACAAAAAACAATTTCTATTAAAAAATATTTCAAGTGTTTTTTAAAACAAATAAAAAAACTCTTTATTAAAAAATATCTTAAAAATTTCTTAAACAAAAAATAAAAAAAAACTTTAAAAAATTTTAAACGTATATAAAAAAAATTACATAGTAAGTTTATACAAAATTGGATCCCAGTATTATATGTATTCTTCGGGGTCCTGATAAAATTCAATCACCAAATGTAATTGCCAAATATTAAGAACGAACAAATTAATTATGAATTGGCGTAGATGGATAAATAATTAGCTGAAAAGGATAAACATTTAAGAAGAGCAATGATCTACATGATGTAATATTTATCGGATGATTAACAAAGAACCAATCGAATAATTAGAGTCGATCAATTGCGGCTTAGCAATCTTTAACAATAAGAACAATTAGAAAGAATAATTATAAGCCACAAAAGGTAAATCATATAAAATGGAGGGATAGCGGACTAAAGGAACACGCATAACGAAAGTACATACATTCATTCTCATGTTTTATTATTTCTTGCGGACATTTATTTTTCTTTCTTGAAAAATCTCTATTTAATATTTCTTTTATCCTAAAAATTTCTAAAGATTCATTCTTAAATTTTATTGTTTTGAAGATAAACTTCTGATTACAAAATTTACAATATATCTTAAATTTTACTTCCATAAATAATAATATAAAAAGATAATATAAAAGATAATATAAAAGATAATATAACACATATTAAAAAGAACATAAAAGATAGTATATAGATAGAATAGAAAGTAGCATAAAAATTTGTATAAATAGAGAGCGGAATTCAAAGTAATTCCATAGTTCTCATCTACAGAACTCAATAAAAATATAAGTTTCATTTAATTATTTGTTAGTAAAGTTTAATATTAATTAAAGGTAATAGGTTCGCCCTAAACTTTAATTAATGTTTGCTTAATTAATTTTAATTGAATAAAATGGAAATTTTAAGATGGATTAAATATATATTTTGAAAAATAATAATTCGTAGCGAGAGCTATCGAAGTTTGAAATTAAAGGTAAAAGTGGATATAATTTGGGAAAAATTTAGAGAAGTTAAATTTTATTTTATCTTGTTTGATGTTTTATATTACTAACGCTATTTATGTTGTGAACCAAAAATGTTGTCGTTATATGTTATTGTATGTTGTTCGTTGATTACGTTGTTTGTTAATTATGCTGTTGATTATTTGCTTGTTCGTTTATTTGTTCATTCGTTCGATTATTTGTTCGTTCGACCATGAGAATGCCCGTTCGATGTGGCAATTCTGTAAATTAATGACAGAGGGAATTGGGGGATCTCAACGGCAATAGTAGACCATATATTGAACAAATGTTCAACCATTGTATGTATATATAGTCTGCCATTGCTTGCGGTTCCATCTCTGGGCAAAAGGAACATCAATTGATATTTGCACTGCAGCGGGTGATACCTGAGCTTTAGCCTACTGTCCAACTGTTAAGGCTCAGTTTCAACAGTTGGAACGCGAGGGCTTATTTATGGCCAACTTAATTGCTGTTTTAGAATGTTCTGAACAATTATCTGCACCAATAATACTGATTCTTTTATTACAGGAACTTTCTCCTTTTTCACTAATATCTTCATTACCAATATCGCCAATACTTCTGCAAAGTATTTTGCTTAAAAAGATAATTTGTTTAAACTGCCCTTTTGCTGTTTTGATAAAATAAACTTTTCTTGTTTCTTATCCAGAAACGAGGTGAGATAGCATCTGAAAAACAAGTTCATCCAGAATCTAATACTGTCAGTAGAATTCTAAATATAGAAGTTAGAGCCTAGCTTCCTGCAGATACTTCTGATGTTCTATTATGGAAAAGAATTGAACAGGCCAAGAAGTTCTATAAACTATTCAGTGCATTGGGTATTATAGATAAAATCTATTGAATTCGTTTCTTTTCTGCCAACTCTATCTCATATAACGTATAAAGACATCCAGTATACACTCCCCTACAATAAATTACCAGATTTGACAAAATTTACATAGCAATTTTCATGTTGCATATAAGTTTACGAATTTTTAATAAAATTTAGCCAGAATTTTTTTATTTGAAAGTTGATCGTAGATAGTTTTTATGTATCAAAATAAATAAATATGATTAATTATAAATATAAAAAAGTTTTCTCATTGCAAAATAATATAAAAAATCATGAAATTCTCACTTTTTTTCAGCAATGGGTCAACTCTTTAAAATTTTAGAAAATTTTCTTTATTTTTTAATACAAGAAAGCTACAATTGATTGGCTTTCAAATAAAAAAGTTTTGACTGAATTTTATTGAGAATTCATAAAGTTTCATATAGCCCGAAAATCAACAATTTTACTAGTAAATCTTATAAAAATTTGTAATTACATAGTAAAATTAACAATAATTGACAAATTTTAGTCTATATGAAACTTAACGAATTCTCTACAAAATTCAGTCAAACTTTTTTTGTTTGAAAGCCAATCAATTGTAGCTTTCTTGTATTAAAAAATAAAGAAAATTTTCTAAAATTTTAAAGAGTTGACCCATTGCTGAAAAAAAGTGAGAATTTCATGATTTTTTGTATTATTTTGCAATGAGAAAACTTTTTTATATTTATAATTAATCATATTTATTTATTTTGATACATAAAAACTATCTATGATCAGCTTTCAAATAAAAAAATTCTGGCTGAATTTTATTAAAAATTCATAAACTTATATGCAACGTGAAAATTGCTATGCAAATTTTGTCAAATCTGGTAATTTATTGTAGGGCAGTGTATTATAGACAATGTATCCTTTGATTATAACATCGGAGACTACACTACTGTAATTGAATTGCTTAATAGTTTACTAACAAATATTACTGATCAAATCAGTAATTCTAAGTGTTTTGAAGTGTATGAACATATTTTACTAGCGCGATCTTTATATTTTTAGCAAATGAAAGAAATTCATATGGAGACCCAACTTTGTGAATTCAGTTCACGAAGTGATAAGAAAATTCTGACTTATTATGATTCACCAGTTTTCCTGTCCAAAAAAAATTGATATTAAAGTAGATAACGACAATAATCCCTGGATGAAAGAAATCATGAAGGCTTTCAAGAAGGAAGAGGCCAGGATGGAGAAAGAAAGACAGAACGAAACATTACCAGAGGTAAATATCCCACTTTTGATTAATAATCAGGTAGGAGATAGCGGTGGATACTGAACCTGAATTGTTATATAATGTAAGTACTTCTGATTCTGATGATAATTTAGGTGATGATTTCGATGATTCTGATAGCGATTCTGGTAATAAGTCTGATAATACTCGATATAGCATAGTGAATATTCTAATTTTATCACAATTTTAATGATCATTTATCGATCACTTATTCACATAGAATAATGAATAATGCCATTATTTATAAATTTTGTGTGTATTTTTTTGCTAATGTTTTATTGTAAAATCATATGCTAATGTTATATACATAGCAAATTTTATACATGAGCAGGACGTGATGGAAAACCCTCAAAAAGTATTGTGTTTATTCAAAAAATGATATACAAACCTTATTTTCAATAATTACACGAAGAGAAGAGAGGTATGATTATTTATTTTGTCTTTTTTTTTTTATAATAAATTTTGACATGGGTTAGTCCACTGCAAGAGAATAATAGTGAAATATTGGCAAAAAGAATAAGACATTATGAGGATTAACAAAAAATATTACAAAATATGATTATCGCCATTTATTAATTGCGCATCATCTTTCATGGAATGAAGATATTTCAAATAAAGCATGTGGATTGTGTGATAATTGTTTACTAAATTCAAACAATAATCCAGTATAGAATGACTTTTCAGCCGATGTGATTAGACTGCTAAAAATTGCCAAAGAAATTTTGGAATCTAGAAAAATAAATAAAATGATACCTTTGGATACTGCAGCAGTTTTTTGTAAATTAAAAGAGCCAACGAACTTGGGCTTTCAGAATTATCTATTTATAATGAACTATTTGAACGAAAAATAAAAATAAAGAGAATGTTTTATTTGTTATAGATGATCTATGTGTTAAAGGCTTTTTGATTTTGAATTTCCAGCTTTGAAAGACAGCAGCTTTGACCAAAAACTTTTCATTCAAACCAATAATAGTTGGATTGGGAGATAATGCTGAAAAAAAAGTAACGCGTATTATAATATATTATTTTTTTACAATGAAACTAAAAATTTAACTTTATTAATAATTTTAAAAGACTAAAAGAAATAAAATACACATAATACGCGTAAAAAAAAGTTAACTTGTCTTCATAAGTATAAATATTTGTATATAAGAAAGCTAATTATTTTATTAAACGTTAGGTTTTGTTAAAAAAAAAGGTTTGAACATGAAAAATTTACATATGCATTATATATCATAATATATACTGATCATTTTTGATTAGCCATCACGATTAGTGAAAAATGATCTACAGTGTGTACTCTAGCCTTAAAATGATAAAAAATACAATTATTAATGATAACTTTGAGAGGATAACTTCTTCAAAAATGGTCAATTGAATTCTGTCTCTAAAAAGGAATTTTCAGAACGTAAAAAGGTTTTTGAGAAAGTGAACATTACACAGATGGATTAATTTCCACCTAATAGTATTAACACGTATACTAGTTTTCCCATACAGATAAGCTGGAATTTATCAGTGGAAAAAATTGATACATTCTTTGAACGTCAAGATATACGCGAATACAAATTTGACATCGATTCAAGAGGAAACGTATTTATAGTTGAATTGAAAAAAGTGGAACACGCATTTGTTATTGCACGATTTAAAAATTATTTTGACGTTCCCAATAGAGATGTTGCCAATAATCCTCCGATAGATGTTGCGGGTGCTTTAAATAAGATTTTCCTTTGGGTTATTTAGGCTTGTTATCAGTTTTATAATCTACTTATGTTCTATAACAGCTCATTATAAACCACGTGAAAAAGGAAAATCCTTAGCACCTGATATAGCTATATACACTGGTAAAAAAATGGTCTATCCTACACATATTCTACACATATCTTACATATATCGGGTACTCAAAATGTAGAAAATCATACACAAATAATACACATATCATATACATATTAGGTACTTATATATATAGTATACCTATCAGGTACCTGATATATGTATGATATATATATTAGTACCCGATATGTGTATGATATGTGTATTATTTGTGTATGATTTTCTACATTTTGAGTACCCAATATGTGTAAGATATGTGTAGGATAAATCATTTTTTTACCAGTGATATCCAAGTTTGAGCATTATTCCAAAACTTCCAACTCCAGCTCCACTTCCACAACGTGAACTAAGAATTCTTAGAGCTTCTTGTAGACCTTTCTGATATTGTGAAATTCCTCCAGTTGATAAAATGGTTGGTTCTGTCATATCAGATTTTGTTCCTAATTTTCCTAGTCTTAATGTAAATTAATTATATCTCATGCACGGATAATATGTGAAATTGCAGTGTTCTAAAGTTACGATACTCTGAGAGGTTGGAATGCAAAGTGTTGTCATTGGATACGATAGCAATATATAAGATGTATATTCAGAGTTAAAATTTATCGTCAAAGAGCTACAAGAAATGCAATTGGACAGTTAGATCGATGTATGATTGTACGTGTCATACAGCCTATTTATTATTCAATGATTTTGAAATTTTTAAATTTTTTCTATTTCTAATTCTAGGCCAGACTTTGGACATGTCAGTTATAGAGCTCTGAACAGGTTAGCCAAATTCAGGTAACCTGACCTAACCTGATTGACCTGTTGACCTGAAACTATTGATTCTACTATGAGTTGCAGTATTGCGATTCACTTTTTTATATAGAATTAATATAAAAAAGTGAATCGCAATATCGCAACTCACTTTTTTTTATATAGAATCTATATAAAAAAGTGAATCGCAATACCGCAACTCACTTTTTTTATACAAAATCAATATAAAAAAGTGAATTGCAGTATGGGGATTCACTTTTTTATAAGATTTTAATATAAAAATGTTGAATCGCAATATTTCGAGAAAAAACGTTGCGAAAACATTTTTTTATAATATTATATTAAAAAAATGTTTTGTAACGTTTTTTTTTTGATATTTCAATAATAACGTTGTGAAAACATTTTTTTCATAATGTTATATTAAAAAAAACGTTTTGCAATATTTTTTTTCAATATTTTAATAAAAAATGTTGCAAAAACGTTTTTTTTCATAATATTATATTAAAAAAAAAAAGTTTTGTACTGTTTTTTTTTCAATACTTTAATAAAAATAGTCCTGAAATTTTTCAGGTTTCAGGTCAGGTCAGGTCAAACAGACAACCTGATATAACCTGACCTGACATGACCTGAAAAAAAATTTCAGGTCAGGTTTATCAATTAACCTGATCTGACCTGACCCATTCGGAGCTCTAGTCAGGTAGTACCAATACCAGAAAGACATATAGCAGTAGCAGGATAGCCAGGAGTTTATTATGAGAAGGTAAGATTAGTATGCCATTGATGTTTTTGCATTCAATTTAAATTGCAAATATCTAATATATAATATAAACTTACCAAATTTTTTATAGTGGAATTTCAGTACTCACAATTATCACACTGGTGCTCCTACTACTTGCACAGGACCAGGTTTACTTAATTATCAAGTTAATATCCCAACCCAGGATGTATTCTGGGACTCTTTTGTGATCAGGGGAGCCTCCTCCACAGTTGGGTATGCCATCACAGTCCCCGGTGAAGTCACTGCCCCTAACTTCATTATAGATTTGTATCAAATTCAGCAATTGGTCTTGCTAAACCAAGAAAACTAGAACATAGATTATTGATTAATAAGTAATAGTTAAGGAGAAATTTGCAAACTTTATTATAATAATTTTTTGATACACAGAATAATAGTGTATAATAATAAAATTTGTATCATAAAAAAATCTATTGCTTGGCTTAAGCTTATTAATCAAATTTGATTGGACAATCCGTGTTTATAAATAATTAGATCGGATTTTTGATTTTGTATTAAAAGTAAAATTTAAAGAATTTTATTCAATAATTATAGGTAACATGTGAAATGGGAGGTAATTGTAAAGGGGTACACCCTGGATTAATCAAATCAAATTGAATTTTTAATTTGTGAATTGTGTTACTTGAGCACAATGCACTATTTGATCATCTATATAAAATTTAATCCGTGACGTAGCACCGCTTATCTTCGGAACTTAATCACTCAATCAACCTTTTTTTTCTAAATGTCTTCAAGTTCCAGCAATTATACAGCCCGAATTGCCAAAATACAAATTTATGATGATTTACATAGTTCTAGTAATGATTTAAAAATTGGACTTAGTGAAAAATTATGGGACGAATTAATTAAAGAAACCGTAGAAGACGAATCTGAGGGTAATTTTATTTTGTTTTATACTAGCTTTATTCTCGTTATAAAGATAAACTGTGTTTGCATTTACAGCTATAAGAGCGACGCTTAAACCTTATATTTGTGTTTCTGTCACACCTTTGGATTTATATTTGAAAAATCCACTTAGAACAACAAAACATAAACCATTAATTTCTTCAATTTTTACATACGCAAGATTACAATATCCTGATAGATTTGAAGACACGCCCGAGGTAGACAATAATATATTATTATTTATCCCATATATGTTTAATATATAATATTTTATCATTAACTTTTTCTGTAGGAGCATGTTTGTTATGTATCAAAAGATTTCGTAAAACAAAATAATTTAAGAGATGCAATCGAAGTAGAAATTAAAATTGCCGATCCAATTGAATTAGAAGAGGTGATTGTTGGAGCATTGAATAATGAATCATATGAAAGTTTGATAAAAGGTTTAGTTTTTGTTTTTTTCATAGAAAATTTGTGTTTGAAAGATTTTATTTATTCATTATAATTTTATTAAAATGTTTTATCAAGAAAAGATCCTTCCGCAGTATCAGCCTATTTTTATTCATCACCGCCTGTAGTGGTTAGACAATCGCAAATCTATAGTTTTCAACAAGTTTCTATCCCTGTTTCATCAAACAAATTTAAGGTTTTAATGTGCAATCCAGTTTTACAAGGAATCATTTCAACCAATACGAATTTCATTATCACCAATTTGTCACAAGAAACTTTAATATATGATAATGAAGAAGGAGAAAAAAATATTAATAATCATGATATCGCGGACTTTTATTTTGAAGATTATTTAGATGAACCAAATATTTTAAATTCGAAGGATTATTATATGGAAACTCAACTGGCCTTACTAGAAGTTAATGGGCAGGATACCGGAAATGGATCCGAATCAGATTGGACTACTTCTGCGTCTTCAATATCTTCTGATGAAGATTGTTTAAATAATGTAGCTTCCATTTCAAGAAAATCAACTTTTACTCCTCAAATTTTATCATCTCCTTTTCCTGTTACTTTAATACAACCTATACCAAAAGAAAGAGAGGATCCTGAATCAAGAGTCCTAATCAGTTTAAAGGACTTAGCCAAATTGGGAATTCAAAGTGGAAGTTGGGTGAGAAGTAATTTTATTATTTTCGCAACATTTAAATTCATTCTTGTTAATATATTATTATACCATATTTTTATTAGGCATTAGTATCAGGTCCTATTAATGAGAAAACTAGGTTATGCAAAGTATATGCCATCGATATTTCATTATCAACTATAGAGTATTTATTATTATTATTGTTGTTGTTTATATAGAAATGTAAATAAAAAAAACATATATTTTATTTTAAAAATTTTTTCTAAAATTCAACATTCTTTAATAATCTTTTATTTAGAGTTCCATATCCTCCTGCTTATATTTCACCATTGCTTTATTTTAACCTTGGATTTTCTGATACAAACAAGTTGAGTTCTGAACAATTATTCGTTCAGCCAGCTATTAGAATGCAATCCTTACCTCCAGTAGCTAAATATTTAGTTGTTGCCAGAATAGCTTTTCCAAATTGTACAGATAGATTTATCTATAATGCCAGTATGGATGGCTTAGAAAGCTGGTTTGAAGAAGCTGATAGAATAGTTTGTGAGGGAGATATTTTCTCTATTCCTATAGACGGTAAGTGTTATTATCAAGTATTTGCTTAAAATTTTTTAATTCACTTATTGAATCTAATAATTTAGAGGAAGCTGCAAGATTAAGACCGCAAAAAGTTGAGGGGGATGTTGAAACTTTAGAAGACATTAAAGTTGCTACTGCTCCATTAAATCCAACAACTGCTGTCTATTTTAAAATTTCTAAATTGAAACCTCAAAACAAGAAAAAAATTATGATGTATGGATATGGTAGATTAGTTGATACCAAATTAACTAGAATTGAACAAATAGGGATGGTGCATTCTAGAGTTCCTGCCGTGAAACAATATTATGGAATTAGTTCCGAAATTCCAAAATTACCCAATTCGAACTCAATATTAACATCACCTGGAACATCTTATGCTAAACTTTATGATCTAATTTCATCTTGTCTTCATCCAAATGCCGCAACACTTAAACTTAGTTGTACGGTTCTTTTACATGGACCTCGGGGTTGTGGAAAGAAAACGACAGTTTATTGGGTGGCGGAATCAGTTGGTGTGCATGTTTTCGAAGTGAATTGTTTTGATTTTGCGGGAGAGACTGATGCAAAAACAGAAACATCACTTCGTATGAGATTGGATAAGGCAGTGACATGTTCTCCGTGCGTATTCTTATTAGGTCATGTTGATGCGTTAGCTAAGAAAAGTGCTGTTCTTGAAACCGGTCAAGAGCCGACCATTTCAACTATTTTACAAGATTGTTTTAAGCAGCTTATAACAAATTTTCAAAATATAGGATATCCTGTATTGGTCGTAGGTACAACAGGAGATATTGACAAAATCCCCGCAAGTGTAATTGGATGTTTTAGGCATGAGATTGCTTTCGAAGCACCTTCTGAGCCTGCAAGATTGGCTATATTAGAACGATTAACGTCTGATACACCTTTGGCTCCGGATGTCTCATTATCATCATTGGCAACACAGACTGCTGCACTCGTACCCAAAGATTTGGTAGATTTGGTTGCAAGAGCTGGTTTAGCATCGCTTGAACGGGTTGAAATTTCTTTGAAAAAGACAAATCAATCCGTAAAAGATGTGGACATTGTCCAAGCTGGAATTACTTTGACAGCCGCAGATTTTGAAAAAGCTCTTAATAAAGCAAGAGCGTCATATTCTGATAGTATAGGTGCACCAAAAATTCCTAATGTTACTTGGGATGATGTTGGGGGTCTTGCAGATGTAAAAAATGATATTTTAGATACCATTCAATTACCTTTAGAACATCCAGAATTATTTGCAATTGGGATGAAAAAGAGATCGGGAATTTTACTTTACGGACCACCTGGTACAGGAAAAACACTTCTCGCCAAGGCAGTTGCAACTTCATGTTCTTTAAATTTTTTTTCGGTTAAAGGACCCGAATTACTCAATATGTATATCGGCGAATCTGAGGCAAATGTTCGACGAGTTTTTCAACGTGCTAGAGATGCTAAACCATGTGTGATATTTTTCGATGAACTGGATTCTGTTGCACCTAAAAGGGGAGAGAAAGGTGATTCAGGTGGTGTAATGGATAGAATAGTTAGTCAACTTTTAGCCGAGTTGGATGGGATGGGACAGGGTGGAGGCACAGCAGACGTGTTTGTAATCGGTGCAACTAATCGACCGGATTTATTGGATCCAGCATTATTAAGACCCGGGCGGTAAGTTATTTAAATATTCTTTTTATACTAACGTATTTATCATCATATTTATTCAATGATTATTATTTAGATTTGATAAACTTCTTTATCTTGGAGTAAGTCAAGATCACGAATCACAACTTAAAATAATTCAAGCATTAACAAGAAAGTATGCAATTTTTTCATTTTTAATCATAAGAATACTTCTGGACATTTAAATAATTTTTTCGAAAATTTATTTTGTTAGGTTCCGTTTACATCCTTCATTGGACCTTGGAGTTGTCGCAAAGAAATGTCCTTTTAATTATACAGGTGCTGATTTTTATGCACTTTGTTCGGATGCAATGTTAAAGGCAATGTCAAGAACAGCTGAAGCTATAGAAACCAAAGTTGGTACGTATTATGTAATGAGCGAGATTTTTTGTCCCATTTGATGAACTAATTTATTTAAATTTGATTTTTAAAGCTGAAATAAATGCCAATCCATCATCAAAATTTCCTAAACCTATTAATTCGCAATATTATCTTAATCATCTGGCTACGCCTGAGGATACTCTGGTTGAAGTTAATCAAAACGATTTCGATAGAGCCTTAGCTGAGTTAGTACCTTCAGTCTCCGAAAAAGAATTAGAACATTATAAAATGGTAAAAATGAGATTTACTCAACAAGAAGTAAATAAGTTCGAAAGGAACAATGAACAGAATTTGCTCGCCGAAGAAGAATATTCTAACATTAACATTATTAGCGGTGGGAGTGGAACTATCGATTTTATTGGAAATAACAATGAAAAGTCGCAAGAGGATAAAAAAGGTAAAGCAAAAGTCGGTTGATTAATAGAAATCTTATTCCTGATTTGTTGAGCTTTTTGTAATACTGCGGCAAAAATTACCTTCTTGAGTCCTCGTATTACTTTCTTGACCCGGTCAAAATATGCATGATTATGTATGACAAACATATTCTTTTCTTGACTCGAAACTCGATAACTGATAGTGTGATAAACAAAAAAGAATATTTAATAAGAATAACAATAACTTGTTAAAAACTTTGCTGTTTATATTGTTTTATAATATATGATAATGTTTTAGTGTAACAAAAATTTTTTAAAAAATAAGTACCGTATTATTTTTTCATTAAGTATTATAAATCTATTTATAATATTAATGTCTTGCAAAATTCTTTTTGTGTCTACACTCTTGTAAAAGAAATGAAATAACAACGTGTTAATGTTTTTTAATTTCGAAAAAGAATATGTTTGTCATAAGGTAATTTTTGCAATACTGCGGGTTCTTTGATTTTATTGATCGCGTATTCGCGTGAGTTGGCTGATTTGTTATGTTTATACCAAAAAAGGAAATTATTAACTAAATAAGTTGACCTGTAAATAAAAAAAACCAGATTATTTCTAGAAAAGGCAAAATCCGGAATTAACATTAGCAAATTTAATAAATTAACGGCAAGTCATTACTATAAGTGGAGAATAAAGCATAGCCTTATTTCCAGAAACAAATTGTTCTTTTACGAATACGAGAAAACCATTTTAGGCTAGTCCCAAATCATTTATCGAAAGTGTTACTTTTATTCTTTGTCTTACAACTCCATCTTCCGCAATTAAAGATCCGTAAACAACAATGTAATGAATTTTCAAAATTGTTATATTTTTACGGAGCACGACGATTTATCCTAAATCCATAATTGATAAATTAATAAATTACGACCGCAGTCGAATAACCAAAATTTTGTATTGAACCCAAATTTATCCACAATAATTATATATTAATATTATTAATATTTTGCGTAATTTTTTAATGAAAGAAAATTATACTAGTAATTCCAAACAAACAATGATATCCTGAAATAATTTAATTGTGTCGATTACATGATTATTGATTATTTACATCATTCAAACACCAGCATGTCATACACTCCTTATTCTAAAAAAATCGCCCAATAAAATTTCAATGAATTTCTACTTAAAGTTACAAGAATTCTTTGTTTTTTTTTTGGTTTTTTCTTGTTGAAACAAAAAAAAAATTTTATCGTTATCGTCGCTATTCATTATTTTATTTGCGAAATATAATATTAATTTTTTAAAAAAAACTCCTTAAATAAGGTTGGTATAACTTTTTCAGGTTGGAAAGTGAAATAACATTTGGACAATTCCCGTTTATATTATATTTTATTTTATTTTTATAAAAAGAGAGAAAATTCAACAGTAATGGCTTCTGGAGCGACAAAAGCGGCAGCTAACATTGGTATGATAGTTGCTAAACGGCCCGAAAAGCCAGGTAGTGCTGGCAAAGTCGTTGAATTAAAGACCAACTTTATAGCAGTGTCTACTGAGGTAAATAGAATCAGTAAATATTTTATAAACTTTACATAGTGAAAAATTAAGTATTCGAATTACTTTTAATAGTTTAAATATCCGAAAGTGCACTATTATTCTTTTGAAGTTTCTGATGCGAAAAAGAAAAAAGCTGGAAGAAAGGACTCTCAGAAAGTGTTCGAGCAAATGAAAAAAAATCAAAAATTCGGTGCAAAGGCTTTACCGGTTTTCGACGGTGGGCAAGTTTATTCAATATCACAGCTTGATATAGGGCATAGAAAAGAAACAAGGAGCCATTCGGTAACATTGGAGATATCGATTATATTTGATTATTCAATTAAGCAATAATACACTATAAATTAACTTTGTTAATGTTACGATTTAAGGTAAAAATTCCCGTGGATGCTGATGGTTCAGGACGTGAAAAGGACTTAAAGGTTGAAGTTAAATATCAAGGAGAAATAGATTTGAGTCCTATCGGAGATTATGTTAAAGAGAAATCTACTAGTGCTTGGGATGGGAATATTCAAAGTAGTTTGACTGTCTTAAATGCTTTTGCAAATAATAAAGTCCGATTATCGTTTTTATCTGTGGGAAGAAAGGCGATATTTCCGCCGCCTCGTGATAATAGACCAATTTTTTTGCCCGGTGGTATCGAAATGAAACAGGGGTTCTATCAATCAGTAAGACCTGGATGGGGTAAATTTTTTTTTAAATTTTTTATATTTAAAGTTAACTTAAAGAAACATTGATTTCACATATTGTTAAAACTTTCGCAGGAAGGCTTACAATAAATGTGGACATATGTGCTACCACTTTTTATCCTGCGGGTCCTATAATTGATCTCATACCAAAGATTATCAAAACCAAATTTGACAGGCATGAAAAAACGAGAGATGAATTACGTAGAGGCTTGGATAGGAGAGAAATTGATACTCTTAATAGATTTTTCAGAGGTGTCATGATTTTTGTAACTCACAGATCAGACAACCGTAAACCAAAACATAAAGTGTCTTATCTAGATTCTCAACCAGCTGATCAAGCTAAATTCAAACAAGGCAATAAAGAGATTACAATTGCTCAATATTTCAAAGAAACCTACAAACAAACCTTGCAATTTGGACGATTACCATGTATTGTTGTAATTAAACCAGACAAGACAAAAGTGTTTTTTCCTTTAGAAGTGTGCGAGATATGTCCTGGTATATTTGTATAAATACATATTTTTTTTTGGCTTATAATAATTTTTCTTTGAAGTGAGAAAATAATTACTAATAATTACAATTTTTGTAGGACAAAGATACGAAGATAAACTTTCTGATGATGCCCGAAGGGAAATGGTTCAAAAAACTGCGATCAAACCGTGGGAAAGATTTGATCGTATCGAAACAGCTATCAAAGATATTTTTCGACATCAAAGAGACGAAAATTTGCGCTCTATTGGGATGAATGTAGACCCAGAGTTTATTAAGGTCAAAGGTAATTGTCAGAATGAATGATACAAGGTCTTGTTTTTTTTTTAACTTTTCAAACTCGACATTATAATATTAAGGTCGCGTCATTCAACCACCAAGATTAACTAATGGTACAGAAATAGTCCCGGATGGAGGACGTTGGGATTTGAGAAAATTCATTAAAGTAAAAATTTATAACATTGAAATAATAGTAAATTTATTACTTATTTTATTAAAATTTATAATTTATATGAAATTTTTATTTATTTTTAGTGTCCTAGGCTTCATAATTGGTCAGTAATTGTATTTGAAAACAGGAATTATGCTCCTCTAGAAATGGTCAAAAATGCTATTAGACAATTAGTCAGTTCTTTAAGTGAAAGAGGGATGGTAAGCATAACGAAAAGAAGTTGTCAAATATTTTTAAATTTAAAATTTTATCGTTTTATATTTATTTATACATACGACACCTCTGTGTATATATATATATAGGACGTCTATCCAGATCCACCAATAGAATATGGTAACCCACAAGGCGGTTACGATAAAGTAAATTTTCTTTTTTTTTCTCACTTTTTTTTTTTATTTATATATAATTCATGAATTACTTTTTTTTCAATTTAGTCGCTATTACTTGCTGCTCAAAAAGCCAGGATAACGCGTGATAGGCCCGCACAACTCATTATTTGTGTAATTCAGAAAAAGGTCTTAGGTGCATCTGGTATTCATGCTATAATAAAACGTATTTGTGGTACTCAACTTGGTGTAATTTCCCAATGCATTGTTGCCAACAACATGAAAGGCCAAAACCCTAGTCGGTGGAGGCAAATATGTGGTAACATTTCTTTGAAAATTAATGGAAAATTAGGTGGTAAAAATTGTGTTTTAGCTGACAGGGAACTTAATTTTGGAACGAACAAACCGGTACTTTAATATATTATCTCTATCTTAATCCTTTGTTCATAGTTTATATTAATTTTGTGTTTATAATTGTTTCCTATAAGTATATGGTATTCGGTGCTGATGTTTTTCATCCTGGTCGTGAAGAAAAGGGACGGCCAAGTGTAGCTGCAGTTTGTGCATCAGTAGACAAGACAGTTACAAGATATGTTGGCCGACACAGTATGAATCAAAAAATAAAAAATGAAATTATCGAGAATCTCGAAGGCATGGCAGTAGAATTATTAAATCAATTTCAACGAGAAAATAATATACTACCTTTCCAAATTGTGTTCTACCGTGATGGTGTTGCTGAAGGTCAATTTCAACATGTCGTCCAAAAAGAAGTAGAAGCACTAAAACGTGCTTTCAGTCGAGTTTATGGCGAAAAGGGTGAAAAAGGGCAAAAACCACAATTAACGTTTATTATTGTGCAAAAACGTCATCATGCACGGTAGGTTACATTTTCTTACAACATATTTCATGGCTATTTCTATGATTTATAAATTTTACACATTTTATCTATAGGTTTATGCCTGTTCAGAGAGGAGACTCTGATAGAAGCGGTAATTGTAGACCTGGTACAATTGTGGATACTGAAATTGTGGTACCTCAAGAATTCGACTTTTGTAAATAACCAATCATTCATTTTTATTCTATAGTTATATGTATAACAACAGCACTTATGTTTAATATGTACGAATTGCATTCTATTTTAATATAGATTTACAGTCCCACGCAAGTCCTCTTGGAACGGCTCGTCCTACGCATTATCATGTGTTATTAAATGAAGCTAATTTTCCTGTTGATGCTATACAGACCTTAACATACAAATTATGTCATTTATCTGCCAGGTAATATATATCATTTAAGCTTATGAATAACAAAGTAAAAACTTATCATTTGCATTTAAATTTCAGATGTAATCTTGCCATATCTCATGTGACTCCGGTCCACTATGCTCATCATATTGCGAACCAAGCAAAACATTTCGTTTCATGGGATGGTTCTGGCAGTGGAAGATCAGGTAGTTCAGGTGGTCGTGGAGGTGATACTGTTCCAAATACCACCAGATGCGAGAAAATGAAATCCGGGATTGAAAACGAGATGTTTTTTGTTTAGGGGATTTTAAAGTTAAACCTACATTATATGGTCATTTATAGAATAGATACCGGATAACGAATTAAATTTTTCAAAAAAAAAATATATATATATATAATAATAATAATTAGGTAACTACTGTATTATTAATAATGTTCTTAACAAATAATTTTTCCCTTTAATATTATATACTACTATATTTATTAAATTAGGATTAAATTAGGATTAGTTCTATTTGACATTAATTGTAATTTATTTTTGCGAATTTGAACAAATATTAGATTATGTACACATATTTTTTTACTCACGGTGATTTCATATATTTTAATAAAAAAATCAACATTGTATTAAATTTCATTCATTAAATTTTTGTATAACTTCACATTTTTTTTTATTTGATACCTAATTATTTTATAGAAAGTAATTCTAATAAAGCTATTATATATCTTCTTAAATAATAGCTTATAAAAGTAGATTTTCATTAAGTGAATGATTTAATGATAACATCTTGATTTTGATCCCACATGAACAAATGTGTAAATTCAGCAGACCTCAAAAATGAGTCAACATCATAAACATTATATTTCTTTGCCTATAATAATATTAAATTAATAAACAGAATAAATTAAAAAATCATATTTATACACTGACCTGTTCTATCAACTCAGACACGCTTATATGTATATTTCCAGTCCGAGAATGCACATTTGAAGCTTTTTGAAGTTGTACCTTTTCTCTAACCATATCATTGAGAATATGTATAAGTAATTCTGATTGTTCCTTTGCTTTATTGATATATTTTGCAAATTGCTATTTATAATAAGAAAAGTCAATTAATAAAATATTAAAATAATAATATACCACAATATATTTAAAAATATATTCTTTATTTATACTTACCCTCTTAAGCCTATTTGAAATAGAAAATTTCTGTGAATCAAAAAAGCTTTGTAGTACTACGTCAATAGCTATTTCAACATCAATCTTATTTGTATAAGTTCGAAGATGCATTCTAATAATATAAAAATGTAATAATAAATATGTATGTTAATTTATCAATAATACTAATTGTAAAATTTTTGTATTTACCTGGCATGAGCTTCAGCTAAACGCAGCATAGACTCTAGATAACGAACCGTTATTGGAATACCACCATTTTGTGCCTAATCATAAATTGGTTTATTAGTTCTAAATTAAAATATTAAATAAAATATTTTATATATTACTCATATACTCACTTCTTTTCTCAATTTAGAATAAAGATCTGAAATCATGTGTTCATCAAGATTAGTCAATTGGGGTTTTATTTGTTTTGCATAAATAATATATTTTCTCAAAAGATCCTGTGAAATTACCTGTTAAAAAGAATTAAGAAAAATAATAAAATAAATCAATGTAGCGCTAATTAGTAGAGAAATGTAATGATGACTTACAGATCTATTATCTCGTTGAACAGTGAAATCCTCGCCTTCATCATGATAATCTGGATGACTTCTAACATGACTTTCAACAACAAAATTTGCGAGAATTTCATCTACAGTTGGATCAACGGTATCTTTGACAACACAGAGAACATCAAAACGTGAAAGAATAGGTTCAGTTAATTCGACATTATCTGAAAATGGTTTAGATGTATTATATCGACCTCCAATAGGATTTGCAGCAGCAATAACGGCACATCGAGCATTAAGCGTAGAATTTATTCCAGCTTTTGAAATCGAAATGGTTTGCTGTTCCATAGCTTCGTGGATGCTTACTCTGAATTATTTAATAAGTATGTTAACAAATATATAAGTCAATATGATCATTAGTATTTTACTAAAACAATAGTTCTTTTTATGAAATAATCATTATAAATATTTACCTATCTTTATCTTCCATTTTATCAAATTCATCGATTAAGCATACACCATGGTCGGCGAGTACGAATGCACCACCTTCTAGCGTCCATTCTCTTGTTATAGTATCTTTCTTCACTGATGCAGTAAGACCAACGGATGATGAACCACGGCCAGATGTATAGACGGCACGATACGCGGTTTTTTCAACATATTTCAAAAATTGAGATTTTGCTGTACCAGGATCACCAAGCATAAGTATATTAATATCTCCACGTAATCGGTGCTTGTCCTGAATATTTTTAGCTACACCACCAAATAATGATAAGGCTATAGCTCTTTTAATATCTTCGTGGCCGTAAATAGAAGGCGCAATACTTTTATATATCTAATAAATACAATTCATTTAATATTTTTAAAAGACTATCATAAAATATTACGTTATTATATCAACCTTTTGAGCGATTTTTGGATCCTCAGCGAGATTTTTCAACTGCTCTCTATCTTCACCAGTCAACTTATAAGTCGAATAAAAATCTTCCCTTTTAACAATATAGTTTGCTTCAATAACAGTAGCGAACACCGGAAATCCATTTTTTACATTTAATGATATATCAAAATTATTACGATAGATGCCGGTGATTTCCTGAAAATGATAAAAGATAAATAAATGGATAGTAAACGCTGTTATTATATTATAATTATTATTAATTATTATTAATTATATACTCATTATACGTACAATTTCATCACCAGGTTTCACTGAATCTATAAGGTCACAAAGCAAGATGACCTCCCGATGTCGAGGTAACCTTCCAGCAGGAATCGTACCAGGGGTTTCTTGCATAGTGATCTTTTGATAATCACTATACATTGTCTAATTGGTTTAATTAAATTTTATTTGAAAATTTTAACGATGTTTTTTAATGATTTGATTATTAATTTTGCACTCACCTGTTCTGTATTTAGACTAAAAGGTCCCTTTGACTGACAATAGCTGCAATGATTTAACTTTATCTCGGATTGAATATCTTGAGTATAAGGTCCAAGAACGCCGCCACATTTTAAACAATTATATTTTACAAATTTTAATTGAGGAAAAACACCAGTTCGCCTTGTCACAACACCGGAAATGCGTACCAAAGTATTGAGATGGGTATGTCTATATTAAAAAAAAAAAAGTATAAATTCGTTAATACTTTCTTTTTACAGGTTATTATTAATTTATATTTATTTTGCTACCTGAGTTCTCTAAGAGTGTATAATATAGGATAATCTGTTATCCGAACATGAATCTCTTTATTTAACTCTTCATAATGTGGATGTTTTTTTAATATAATATCTGTCGCGACTTCATCAAAGACTTGAAGAATTTCCGCAGGTGATTTCTTAAGAAATCTTGCTAGTATTGGTTTATCAGATTCTAAATGCACGTAACTAAATTCTAAACTCTGTAATTGGTCTATAAAAGTTATAAAATTAAATATCAAGTCACTTTATCTTGTACAAATAGATTAGATAATATGTTTACCTTTCGTAAGTTCTTCAATTCGAGGCCAATATACAGATTTTCCATCCTTTTTGTACTTGCATATGAAATTACGGAATTGACGCACGATACCTTTCTGAACGGCTGGATTTTTAATCCACTCGCTAATAGAAGTCGCCTTAACGTCCGCTAATTCTTCATTGTTCATACCCTAAAATAATATCTATTAATTTATACAAAGTTTATTCGATATTGTATATTTAGTCTAACTTTAGTATATACCTCATAATCATCGTCGTCACTATCTCCATCGAATTCGCCAATTTGTGGAACAACTTCTTGCTCCTGCGTTACTTCAGTAACTTTGCGTCGACGACGTTTTGTCTTTTCTTGCAAATAATTATTCGCTATATAAATATAATAAGTTATTTTAAAATCATACAATAAAAATATAATATGAAATTAAGAAATATAAATATAATTCATACTATCTAAAAGATAATCAGCTGCTGTACGTTCATTTCCACGTGCGTCACGTTCATCCATAATCCTTTCTATATTTCGTCTTATAGTAAGATCAAGTTCTTCATGTTCTTCATCGTCGATATTGTCTGAATCATAATTATCTAACTCGGGACGCTCTTCATAATCCCTAAATCGCAAGTGACAATATTTTTTAGATAATAATTTTATATCTTTAAATTCAACTTTGTATAAATACCTTTCAAAATCAGAGTTATACAAATTTTCTCCGTCTTCCTCAGAAATATCAGAGATATCATCTTCAATAAGATTTTCTTCCACTTCTATGTCGCCATCAGTATCCGAAGGAGGTGGTGGACTTGTTAAATTCAAGAAAGAGCCGGAAGAATAAGGGGAACGACTTTCTGCATTCGGACTAGGTTCTCTTGGTCGTTTTCTCTCAGCCTATTAATGTGTATTTATTTTTTCGAGTGAAGTTCGAATCAATTATTTAACGAAAACTTACGATAAAAAACGCGTTTTTTCAAATATTTCATACCATAGTATAATGTTACAAAATGAACAGAGATAGCGCGAAACCAAAGAAGTAATTTTATATAAACCATCATAACTACCATAGAAGTTGATCAAACACGCGAAAAAAATTAGACAATATTACAACATGTTAATTACACGCAAAACTAACCTATAATTGGTAATATAAAATGTGTTCTCTCTTTGATCCGTTACGGATCTACTAGAGTTGACGAATTTGTACAGCTACAAAAAAAAATCTTCCACAAAGCGATTTACACATCTAAAAGTGTAACATGTAATGAATATTACCATAAAAAAATGGTCAAGCAAGTTAGAATTAGGATTAGGATTAGGCCCGTTAGGGTAAGGGTTAGCAATTTTATAATTATTCTGGAAACTCTGATTTTTTTAAATGCGCACCCATTTTTTAAAAATATATCATAATAAAAATATTTATAATGTAATAAAAATACAATTTTATATAAGTTTATATAAATCTATACTATAATAATATTATAATTATATTTTAATTGCAAAAATATCACACCACTAGTATTCAACATCACAGTTATATGTATGTTAAAATTATTTTTATAATTTTTTTAATCTATATTATTAATAGTCTAATTAAAATGTTTTCATTAATAAAATATTATAATCCATATTGCAATATTTAATGCTATATCATATACTTTACATATATTTTTTTAGTTTTTCAATTTTTTTTTATTTTGCAATATTTGTAATATAAAAAAAAAAAAGTACTAAGTAAACTTTTCTGATCATTTAAGCTATAGTTTTTATGAAAACACATATTATAGTATTAAATACCAGTGGTATGATTTATAAAACTTCATTAATAATATATCTTTTTTATTATAAATAAAGTATATTAACAATATTACAAAAGCTTTTTCATTATATTATAGAAAATTACTAAACTTAACCAGGGGAATTTTTCTCCCCTTTCCTTTTATTTCACTTTTTAATTAAAATGTTGATTTGGATAGTAATCTAAGAATAAAATTATATGTAAATTTATGAAAAGAAAAGGTTTTATTAAGTTGAAAAAGGTAGTTGTTCAAATAGTTTTTGAAAAAATTACATAATTTTGATTTTTATAATTAAATTGTATTTTTCATAATAAAAAATTTTTTTAAAACCAAGAATTGCCAAATTTTTATGCAATTAATATCCAATTATATTTATTTTATATATTTCATAAAAAAAGTTTATTTTTTTTAATTTTTAAGAGGAGGGAAAATTATCCCTCTGGTTAAGATTAGCAATACTCTATATTATATATAAAAATTAAAAATTTCAATTTAATTAATTTTTAAAAATAAAAATAAATAAAAAATGCATATATAAATATAAGAAAATTACCAAATGGTAATTATCATTATACTAGCATTAGCAAATATTAATAGTATAACTTATAGAAATTAACTAGTAAATTAACTTTATAAATTAAATAGAAAATAGTAAATATATAACTATATACTGTATTTAGCAAAATATAAATTATATAATTAATATAATAGTTTACAATAACAAACTAAAAAGTGATAATTTATTATAGAAATAAGTAAATCTTTAAAAAGAAGTTGATCAGTTAATTGTACTACTTTAATTATTATATATAAGATTTAAAGCATTAAAAATTTTATAAAGAAATACAAAATTTTAATAAAATTAATAATTTAAAAAGAATTTTTCTAACTATTTTCAGAGGTGATAATCACTGGTGACTGAAATTATGATGATCAACCGACATTAAAAAAATATAGTGCTGGTAAAAATTGATAATTCTGACCAATAGGGATGATCGCTTCCAGTGATTTAAAGTAAAAATCAAATAAATAAAATTTATATTTATTAAAAAAAATTTCTAATTTTAATTAAAGGTGAAATTTCTCTTATAATAAATAAGGGATAGCAAATAGAATTTTTAATAATAAAAAATTTCCAAGTTCTCAGATTAATTAATAAAAAAAGACTTTAAAGTATAATACATTGTAATAAATAAACCTAATTACTAATATAACTTAACTTAATTCTAATTCTAAACCCTATCTAATTCTAATAAATATTAGAAAAAGAAAATTTTCCTTTCAGTTAAATATAGTTATTTTCTTTATTAAATATATATATTATTTTAGTATTTAACTGGTATAAAATATACTTTATTTATAACTTTATTTTAATATTTAACTATATATTATTAATAATAAAAGTAATATTTATTTTATTTATTTAAATATTTATATATAAACTTTTTATAAAAAATATTTTTAATTATTATTTATTCTAGTATTTTATATAAATTGAATTATTTAAGTTGAATTATCAAATTAAAATTTTAAATTGAATTTAAATTTAAGTTAACTATATCAAATTGATTTGAATTTAATTTAAATTTAATTTAGATTTAGATTACTTAAATCAAATTTAATAAATTCAATTCTAATTTAAATTTAAATTTTAAGTTAAATTATATTAAATTAATTTAGATTTAATTTAAATTTAACTTAGATTTGAATTGTTCAAATCAAATACAATTTCAATTTAAATTGAATTTTATCTTATTAAAAACTAAATTTTATTCTTTATATTTTTTTTAAAAAAAATTTACTAATATAAAAAAACTTAATTCAATTATTACTTTTAATTCTATTTATTTTTATTTATTATATAATATTTAAAAAATTATCTTATAATAATTAAATACTTCTATTTAAATATTCTAAATATATTACTTAAAAATTAATATTAATATTACCATTCTTTGTATTAGCATTCAAAGTACCATTTTTATCACCAACTTTACCAGTTTTCTTTTTATCTTCACTAATAGCTACAGTAGAAGGATTATCAATATTAACTTTACCATAATCTGTCTTTGCATCATAACTTCCACTAAAACTAGAATTCTATATTAAAATTAATATTGAAAAAAAAAAATTAATACTCATTTCATGTATAATAAATAATTTTAAGATACTTATAATACTTACGAAATTTAATTGGATATCACTAAGTGAATTTGTAATTTCAATCTTTGGATTAGTAGCATTAGAACTAATCGAAACATTTAATTGAATTCCACCATTATTTGTAATAGCAATCAACTCATTAACAATTTCCGAAACAGAACCTGTAATACCACCATTATTGGTATTTAATGTTAAACTTCCAACTGCAAAATTATTAACATCAATTTCACCATTTACAGTTTTAGCAATAATTTGAGAAGAATAGGGTACTGGATTTGCATAAAAAACAATATCATTTACATCCGTATCAATTGTTATAACAGAAGGAATTGTCTGCGGTAATACTACTTCTACTTTTGCTAAAACACATCTTGGTGGTAAACTAAAGTAACCTATCCATGCCAAAGAACCTTTAAAAGTATCTGCTCGTTCCTAAAGTTAAAGAAGAATATGTTACAGTGACGTGTTATTATTTATGATACGTTTATAATACTTACGAGGAATATTTTCTTTGTAGAATCAGCATTTTCTTCTTTAATAGATGTTGTTTCATCTTTTGTAGCCACAACACGAACCGAGACAGATACATTTGTATCGCTGGTTGAATTACTTTGTGTGACATAAATTTGACCCGTCTAAAAATAATATAATTAATACTTTTAATATCAAAAAAACATTATTTCATTATTTCAATTACTTACTTTAGTTAATATACTATTAAATGAAATAAAATTGAGAATTGGAAAAATTTTTGGATCATAAGTATGAACAGAAGGCGTAACAGTATTAATATCCACCGTTTGACTAAGTTTACCACAAACATTAACATTTACTCCCAAAATAACCTAAAAAAGAATTAAATTAATAAAACCTCTTTATATATATATATATATATATATATATATTATATATATTCGTTACTTACAGCTATAATGACAAGTGAAATAACAACTAAACAACAGAAAACACCGCACAGTGTAAGGATAGGAGTCCAAATGCAACCACAACATCCTGTTATTGATCCTCCGGTTTGTTGTTGTTCATATTCATAATATTGCCCTTTTGAAGACATTACTAACTAAATGTAGCTCAATTATCAAGAAAACTAAATAAAAAAAAAAAAATGAAATGGCAATTCACTTCTCATATTCTTGTTTTTTATAAAAAAAAATTAGAAAAATTTCTATTTGTGAAAGCAAAGCCCAAAGTTACGCGAAAATTCAACAAAAAGTCTTTAGCACATAGCCACAAATACCACCCATTTGCCACCACTGTTAATGATAAATTATTAAAAAAAGTATAAGTATTGTATAATTTTCTTCCGTTACATAATTGTTAATTAAACATAATTTAATAAAATTATTAAAAATTATAACGAAAATATTAGAGAGAAAGTAATTATTATTATTGAACGAGTATTTTTATTAAAGATATTTAAACATCATAATGATCATATAACAGATTGATCATTTGTTATGATCGATATTGATCATAAGTAAATATTTTTGAAATATTTTTAAAGATCAAAAAATTTAAAATTAATAATTAATTTCACAGCCACAACACAAAAAAAAGATGCTTATGACTGATCGCGGCAATAGCAGATATACATTTACAGATGGTGACTTAGTTGTGTAAATTCATCTTCATCAATATTAAACGAATCAAAAGAATTGTTCATAAAATAAAATACAATAAATACATTTTTTTTACGCGATTTAAATTAATAATATATAAAATTACGTCATATTTGGGATATTCATAACACAAATGACACAAAATTAAAAAGGGATCACCTATGTTCTAAAAGAAATATTGATTAGATGATATACGTAATATAAAAGATAAGGGAAAACTGCATTAGTGAAATGGTAAAAAAATGCATAAGTAAACGAAAATCCATATTTTTTTACATGTGAAATTAAATTTTTCAAATGATTTGCTACGCCCAATTTAATAAATTGTGACATTTGACAATATTCATAAATTATTGGTTGAACATTTTTAATATGACTAAAATTGGTTAAATTGAACCTAATTTAATGCAGAGTTATTATCTTTTTCACAAGCACATTCTATTCTTAGGAAAGATAATAAAAGATAATAAAGTTGTGTGAGAAGAAAAATATGCATGAAATTAATACATGTTAGGAAGAAAATGAAACCAAGGGAAATAATAATCATTGATGCAATATAATTCCATTCTGAGCAAATAACCAACTAAAGTTAATACAGATTCAATAGATTAGGGAAAAAAGAGAAAGAGAAAAAGGGATGTACAATTTCAACATTTTATGCATTTTTTTCGCGATTTTTATGAAATCTCTTTCATAAAATTCTAAAATTCTCCTCATTTCCCCGGGAATTATTTACATGATTTTTTATTGCGTCTATAATTTATGATTTTTTACCCAAGTACGCATATATTATGCAAATAGCTGCAATGCTGCATATATGACTGATAATGATAATTATTAAAATGGAAATCAAAAAAAGGGTGATTTAGATTTTAGATTTTAGATTTAATGAGAAAATAAAGATATTCAACGTTGAAAGAAAGAAAGATATTAATTATATTAAGATCATGATGCAGAAAAAGTAATAGAAATAACGTTTTTTTTTTTAATGCATCGCGAGAAATTACTCACTTGAGAGTTTAAACTTTGTAATGCACGTGTCAACCTTTTAATAAAAATTCAGTTTTCTTTACGAAACATTTTTTTTTTTTTTTTTTTTTTTTTTTTTTTTATTTTTATTATCAAAAAACAAATATTACAAAGGATTACATACAGTTAAAAAGTACTGTACATCAAAAATAAACAAATTTTCTAAATAAGTTTTATTTTATTTTATTTTTTTTTTTATTTCTCTAAAATAAGTTATTGTGTGTGATTATCTGTTATTATAATAAACGAAAATCATTTTTATAGACCTTAATTAGTAAAGTACAAGTGAGATTATTAAAAATTTCTACTTTTATTTTACCAAAAAAACTTTAAATTCCATTTTTTTTTGAGATCACACAAAGTTTTAAAATTAAAATTTCATTGAAGTCATTCCAGTTTAATAACCGGTTTTTTAAATCCGTGATTAATAATTTTGATTTACTAATGATCATTATATCATTATTATCACTAAAGAAGTGATTTACGTATACTTAAATTAGAAAGTTTTTAAATTTAACGTATAATAATAATTAATAATTAAATTATTATACTTACCCTCGTTATTAAATTAATTTTGAATGGTTGAAAAAATTTAGGAAATTTCTTTTCATTTTCAAAATATTATCATATTTAATCAATTATTTCCAAGTAATTCTTTGCATTATAAGCAGGTGATTATATGTATTAAATGTATTTTTGAAATTTTTTATTTATTTTTATTTATATTTACAAAATACTCAGCCAAAAATAACATTATTATTATTATTATTATTATAATACAATGAAATTGATGCTAAATTAAAACAATGTATTGATACAATGCCTTTTTCTTCACTTTCTTTCTTCTCTCTTTAGTCATACTATATAATATTACACAATGTTTCGCTGCGAAATATTAATGCAAGGGTTTTCATGGTCTGTGTATTTTTTTTTTTAAAAAAAATTGATATTGTTCGTTTAATCGTCACAAATTTTATTTGTGGCTGATTTTTTTTTATATCACTTTATCCCAAATTACTGGTCATAATGCATTATATTGTGGGATTGTGGGAATATTTGGGTAATATTTCCTTAGATAATGTGCATTACATCTTCTTTATTTTGCGTCTTTTTTCCGAATCTCTTTTAATATTCATTCTTTTTTCTTTTCCCCGCAAGGTTTCGGAATTCGTTATTTATTTATTATACAGTTTCCGATTTTTCCTTTAAATAGTAATTAAGTACAAAAGGTTACACGCATAATTTTTATTTCTTCATTATACATAATTGTTTATTAACTATCCGCAGCGATCAGCTCATTTTCAATGAATATTCATCGAATCCGCATTTTCTTTCATTTTTTTTCTATTAAATTTATTAAATTATCCGTTTATTAATTATTTATTTCTTTTGGTAAATTTCTCTTTCATTATCATGTGAAAATAGCTTTTGAAAACAATCTGAAAATGGTCAAGTCAATTAAAAAAACTTGTTAATAAAAAATCTTATGATAAATGTATTCGAACGCGTAAATCACCTCTTAATTGGGGAACTCGATAACAATTTAAGATTAGAAGGAAAGTTGATTCCAAAGTGGTTTTTAAAATCATATGAAATGATTTTTTTTGTGTCCGTTATGTTATAAATCAATTTAAGGATTAGGGAGCTTTTTTTTTTCTTTTTATTAAAGTACTTTACTGCGTATTATATTATTTTTATTATTTGTATGGAAAAAGGCGGGTAAATAATTTGTCATTTGTATTACAAACATAATTTTATTCATAACATTTCTGCAATCCTATGACCTTATTACTTTGTTCTCCAGAATAAGTTCAAAACAACTTTTTAATTTTTTTTTCCAGTATCTCTCCACTCAAAATGTTTTGAAAAGGTCTTGATTTATTAAAAGAAATTTCAATATTCAAAAGACAAATACGGTGAAATGGCTGCAAAAGTAATTTTTTAAATTGCCGCTGGAGTATGATTGTCATCTGAAAATGTAATTTTGATTCCGATTTTTCGGTTAGTTTGCAATTTTTTTTTTTCTATTTCAAGTAAAACATAACAGTAAAAGCATAAGAAAAAAAAAAACCATTAATCAAAAAAAGAATATTTCCTTAATACACGATTGAATTCGCATCACTCCTATGTGTTTCATATTGGAATATCAAATCACAATTATACAATGTTTCTTCTTATCTTATTAAATAAAGGTGATATGTTGACCTATTAGTCACACGATTTCAATCGTCACACAATAGTTAACCCACATAAAAAAAAAAGTTTAAATATTTCTACTCGAGATCTTCCATTCGTGTATATATATAAAGAATCAGAAATGATGAGTCGCAAAAAAAGTTGAAATTTCAATTTTTTTTTCTTTTTAAAAACTAAAAAACCCTCCAAAAAAGACCAAAAAAAGTATCACGATTGAAAAAAAAATTTTTTTTTTTGAATAATAATTCGTTCTCGAATAAAAAAAAAAGAAAAACTTTTCACTCATAATAATGGCTCCAACAAAAACAATTAATGTTCACTTAGCAAGGGCTAACCAAGTCATTGACGTTGTTAGGCAATTGCCTTATGACCCGACTTATAAATCCGAAGACGTCGTTCACATTTCTCTTACTATGGCACCAAAAGCTAGAATAGAAATTGCTTCTATAGCAGGAATAATTCAATATTCTTGTGACTTGGTTATGTCAAAAACAATTCATGACGTTATATTCGACTTTTCAAAAGTTAAACTACCTTTCACTTGGCCGGCAAAGAAAACTATTCGTGATATCCTGACTTTGAAACCAAAAGACCCAGTAGCGATTGAATTAGTTAGTAAAGACTGTCGTTTGACAGTTTTCAAAAAAAATGACCCTAAACGCCGTGATGAATGGTATGACCATATCAAGAACTGGAGAAAAGATGTACCTCAACGTTTCCACTTAATGTTGAATGAATTGGTTGAAAATGTATCAGCTCATGCTCAACTTGAAGAATCGCGTTTTGTCTTTACGGTCGGTTTATTATTCAGTACAAAAAAGGTATGTACTTATAATCAACTTAAATTTATTTCACATGCTTATTGAATATAATCATTTTGACATTGTTTTCGTTTTGTTTTTAGCAACTTTTATACTGCATCGCAGATTGTGGTGTAGGCCTTAAAGGATCACTTAATCACGCAATCGTTTCCGAAGCTAAACAAGTTTCAACACGTGCTTGTGCATTAAATTTAACTCGCCCTCAATTCACGTCAAAAGGAATTCAACGTGGTCATCAAGGTGTCGGACTTTTCATCACTTCAGAATTATCGCAAATGAACCAAGGTTACCTCGAAATTATTTCTGGAACACAGGAATATGAACAAAGTGGTAAGTAAAAAGAATATTGATGATATAATATATATTATTATTAATATTTTTAATAACAAATTATTTATAAAATTAAAATACTTTTTCTTTATTCTGTGTAAATAGACAATACAGTCATGCGTATACGTGGTGTTGCAGAATGGAGAGGGACAATGGTTCATGGAGCAATTAATCTCGATAAGGAATTTAATTATCGTCAAGCAATGAGATTATTTTCTGATCCTTCCAAGCTCTCTAAGGACCGTTTCTTGGTTGCTCATCTTCACTTGAATGTATATGGAGAACGAACCTTAAGAACGAGAGAACTTTGTGAAGAAATAATTCGGGACCTTGAACTTTCTGTTGAACGTTCACCAAAAATTATATTAGATTTCAGCGATATTGACGAGATCAGTCAGGCCTTCCGAGGTTTCTTACGACAATTCGTTGTAAATAATAAACATGTAAAAATTATGATTATGGTTCCTCCAAATGCAGACGAAGATTTGAAAGAAGATTTACAAGAATTAGTCGAGCTTGCTGCTCAAAATTTAGATGATGATTAGATGAGATTTTTTTTTTATTAGATAAATATATATACATTATAAAAAAAAATTATCATTAATAATTTTCTTTTCTCTTTGTATAATTTGTATAATTTTCAAAAAAAAAAAAGAAAGAAAAATAGACTAGAACTTTTTAGTAGATAATAGATATTGATTATTTCTTTTTAAAAAAAAGGCGGCGTAATGAATGCGCGTGGTTATAGAAAAATTTTTTTGGGATTATTATTTCATTAGATTTCTTTTTCGTAATTGTATCACATTTAAAAAAAAAAATTCAATATACATTTAACTCTTTAAAAAAAGCTTCATTAAAATTTTCTGTTTTCAAAAAAAAAAATTTATTTTTATACATATTCGATTCAAACTTTTTTGTGCCTTGGGCGTTTGAACATATGTCCATTAAAGTTTCAAACACTTTGCTGTTACGTCTGAAATTACAGAATAAATTTTAAAACTACCAAAATTAAAAATATTCTTCAATAAAAATCACTTTAACAAACCATCCAAGAAAAATTTTATATATAAAAAAAAACCAAAAATTTTTCTGCTAAATTTTAATGATATATAACCAAGTATACAAATATATAATATATATAAAAGAAATAAAATAATTTTTTTTTTTTTTGTTGATAAAAAATAATTACATACAGAAAATATATATATATATAAAAATTTTCAAAATATAAAAGTCAATAAATTTTTTGATATAAAAAATAAAAATAGGAAATAAAAAATAAAAAGATATACAGAGAAAAAAAAAAAATATGTATATATGTTATGTATATGTATATATATAAGAATTCAGTAATATAATATATCCCAAATATAATAATATAATAAAATATGTGATGGCTGTCTCTTATACNAAAAAAAAAAAAAAAAAAAAAAAAAAAAAAAAAAAAAATATATATATATATATATTTCAAACCCAATGCAATAATAATAATAAAATGATGAAATTAAAATGTCAAGTAATCAAAAAAAAATTAAAAAAAAACCCACCCACGGCACAAATTTGTGCAAATCCAATAAAATATCCATTTCTTAAATTTAAAATAATCGAATTATCTTCATTTTAATGAATTCTTGTCACCTAATCAAACAAATTGTGGAAAATATTAATTACATCTCTATTTATCATTACAATTGATATTATCCTCAAAAAACCCAAAATAATATTCCATGGTCCTTCTATCTAATTTTCACGTGACTTATTCGATCTATTGATATTGGAATTTTCGTCTCCATTGGTTGTCATACGAGAGACAGAAATCGACGTTGACAAACCAGAATCTGAAGCCGTACTACCCGAATTTGAACCTGTAGTCGAAGAAGAATGGCAAGAATCAGATGATGAAGATCTAGATGCATTGCCGTGTCCGTGATTTTGCAAGTGATGATTATGTTGTAAATGATTATTTTGACTATTATGATGCTGTCCATGATTATAAAGTCCATGATTTGAAAGATTATTGTTAACCACCACCCAACTACTTCTTTTAGAAAGTTCAGCACTCGGTGTACCATGAGTTGTTGATACACCATTTGTGTGAATATGATTATGTCCATGACCATTCACAATCGTATTTTGTTTTCCTGACAATGATGATGACGATATTGGTACTGAAGAAATTGATAATGAAGACCCATTACCCATTGTCGAATTCCTTGATTCAGGATTTAACCCACTAGCACCATTTGAACTTCCATTATTACCATTAGATATACTACTTCCACTCCAAGCAGGAACAGAACCACGTCGTACAAGACCAGGACTCAAATTATCAGGAGGAACTGTTGATACAGGAGAAGGTATGCTACTGCTAGTAAATCCGCCTAAATGACGGGGAAGTGGTAAAAGAGCAAGAGAAGCTCTACGAGCATATCCTCCTATGGCATTACTAATAGCAGCAGTATTAAAAGATAGTCCTGGAAGTGAAGGAGGTAAAGTAGTCACAGGAGTTGTAGGTAATGACTGTGTTGATGGAGCTGGTGGATAAGCCGGATAATGATAAGAAGGTGGAGGATATTGAAAAGGATTTGAAGGAGAATCATGAGACATACGTCGCATAAGGTTTGTTATATTATGTGTAGGAGATGGAGTTGGTAAGGTAGTATTGTTAGACGAAGGCTGAGGACAATTTCTATTACCATTTATAGATTTTGAAGTTGGTATAGTTAATGTGGGAGTTGTTGGAGGAGCTGATGAATATGGAGGTGCCGCCGCTGTTCGATAAGCGAGATCTTCTGGATTCATTGGTTTTGGTGATGAATGTCTTGGATGATGATATTGTTGTAAATCATCTGACAAGTCACCACTTCTTGCACGACTAAGTAACGAACCGCTACTATTTGCACGTTTTATTGTGGAACCTAAACTCATTGATCTATGATGTTGTGATTGGTGGTGTGGATGATGTGGATATGGTTTATGCAAATGATGATAAACGGGGTGATGGGCATTAAACACGCTACTTGAAGCGAAAGGAGCGTGCATGGGTGAATTATTAATGGAATTTCCATTTCCATTTGATGCTGAAACCATTGATGGTGATGAACCAGGTAATGGAGGTGGTGGTGTCTTTGATAAATGTGTTGAATATTGTTGTGGAGATGATGTTAACGTTGATTGATATGATGAGGTAATGTTCAGTGACTTTGTCGAAGAAAAACTACTATCCCGACGATGCGAACGAATAACATGATGATTATTTTCTATTTGATCTTCTTCTTTCATTGCTTTCGATCCACCACCTTTACTTGTCGTATCATCAGTAGAAGGGAATTTACGTGACCTTTTGCTTAGACTCTTATCAAAGCTATGTCCTGAATCCCATCTGCCATGTCCATTAGGATATCTTATATTATCGTATATGCCCGCACCTTGTCTCATTTCTTCTTCCTTTACCCAATGTTTGAGTAATTGATCACCGTATTTCTGCAATTCTTCCACTGTAATTGCTAAACGAAAGTCGTTTAAAACGAGAAATTCTAACTCGAGTTGATTTAACTCCGATACCGGTAGTCCTCCAACCTATTAATTTTGGATGATATTGGGTAAAAAAAAATACATATATGTAACAGACATCCAAAAAAGGAATTCAGAACGAAAAAAATTTTTATATATTAATCCAATATTTCTCTGAAATAATTTCAAAAAATCAAAAAATAATAAAAAAATAGAAATGGACTAGAAACAATTAGTATTTTTGATTTCACTCATTTAAAAAAAAAAAAAAATTTCGTAAAAGTAATAAATATTAATTGTTTCTTAAATTATATCCAAACATATATATATACATACATACATATACATATATATATATATATTTAAAAATCAATTAAATATTTTAATTCTAATGAATTCCATATTAAAAAAAAAATTATTATTAATTTCCCCAAATTTTAGGAATAAAAACTCCGAGGTTCAAAAAATTTTTAATTGAATTTTTATCCAATTTTCAAAAAAAAAAAAATTAATTGAATTAAATTGAATTGATGGATAAATCTTTTTATAATTCATTTATAGCTCACATCCTTGATTTATCCAACAATTCTGTTTATAAAAAAAAAAATAAGGAAGAATTTCCTTTTCGCCCATATATTTCTTTGGCTACAAAAAAAAAGAAATTCATGTTGCACCTTTGGAACATAAAAAAAAAAGTTCCTTAAAGAACCTGCTTACCATACCTTTGCGTATCTTGAATTCGTGAAAAATACGTCTGAAAAGAATTTGGAAGAGACCATGATACCAGCAATTATTAGACGATGAATATTAAAAGAATCGATAGAGAAAGGTTTTCCAGTTGTTGCTATGGCATTCTTTGACATACGATCAAAATAAACTAGTAATGATAAGAAACATTCATTTGTTGTTGGACAATATTTCAGTATCCTTGAAAGATAGGAATGAATATCTATTGAAGGAACTGAACGAGCATGAAAACGCGTGAAAGAAGGTGTGGAAGCTACTGAAACTGTTGAGGGTGATGTCTCCGTATGGTTTATATTGTGTGACTTTAATTGGTCATTAGCACTTGTAATCTTTTCTAGAAGCGAAGCTAGCATCTTCAGAGTGTCCGTAACAGGGAAATTTGCTAAATCCAGCGTGTGCATCATGAATGCAAAGTTTTAATTTATTATTTTTTTTTAAAAAAAAAGTAAAAATTGTCTTTTGACAGGAATAAAAATAATATTAGCGTCAAAGAATAAATAAAGAGACTGTCTCTTATACACATCTAGATGTGTATAAGAGACAGTACATACATATACATATATATATATATATTTAAAAATCAATTAAATATTTTAATTCTAATGAATTCCATATGGAAAAAAAAATTGTATACCATATAGCCAGGTCTCAAGCTCTTTTAGGTGAGAAAAGCTATATAACAGGTAAAAGTATTGTATTTGGAGTAACAAAGTGGTACAAGGAGGAAAACCACAGCCAACCAACATATACAATGACAGGCGTCATTCACTTTTTTACTGACATAGAACACTGACTTTATAAAAAAGTAGTATTAAACAAGGTTTGGGTTTTTTATTTATTCTATAAAATGTGAATCGAAAGGTCACACAAAAATCGTAATTAGTTTTGATATGTGATGCGGATTATACGACAGATAGTGTAATTAATTCTGGCAGCACAAGATTATGACGAAAATCTTGGTAGAAGACTTGGAAGACTAAGACTAATTATTGATTAAATTAAGAAAGAAAATCACCTTTTCTATCAGATTTTATTCTCTATTTATGAATTACCAAATTTCTATGACTCGAATACTTTAATTTCGAGTCCGGTCCGCATTTTTTTATTTGAATTGAACTTCAAATTTATCACAAGATTTCTCGCCATGATTTTTCAACTAAAAAATAGATTCGATTCGCGTTATCAATAAAAGACTTTGGTCAAAAAAACATTCATTACTAAGCAATAATTTAGGCCACAAAACTATAAATTAAAATTGGTTATGGACCGAATTCACGTGATTTAAACACAATGTAACTTAAGGGAATTCGTGTAACCAAAAACGTTTCAAATATATGCATATTTAATTAATAAATGTTTCGGAAAATGCAATTACAAATATATTATATGTATTATTTATTATCATTACTTTTTGAAATAAAAAGGATACACCCGCAATTAAAAATTTTCTCTTTTCCTTTTTTTTTTTTTTTAAAAAAAAAAACCACATTCTCACATATTTAAAAATAAATATACCTTTCATTTATTCTTTTCTTACTTTTCTTTTATTTAGAAAGGAAAAATGACTTTTAAGAAGAAAGTTGTTGAAGAAATTTCAGGGTATGAATATATTCATTCCGATATAGTGATAATACCAGGATTTAGAGGGTCAAAATTAGTGGATGAAAAAAGCAAAAGACCAGGATGGATATCATTACATACCCCATTTTTTCCTAATAGTAAAGAATCAATAGATTTACCATTACATATAACCAAACATGAACATGATAGATTAATCCCAGGCGGAATTGTGAAAAAAGTTGCATGGTTAAAATTTTATGAAAGTTTAGTTAATCATCTGGATGATTTATCTAAATCTCGAGAAAGAAGTATAAAAAAAGAAGAAAAAAAATTAAAAAAAAAGGAAAGAGAAAATATTGAAGAATTGCCATCGTCATCATCTAGTGCAACATCCGATAGTATGAGTGATGATACAAATATTAATATTAATCAACAATTTAAATTACATAAATTTTCATATGATTGGAGACGTACAAATGAAGCTTCAACTGAAGTTTTTATTGAATTTCTTCAAAATATTTATAATAATAATGGGAATAAAAAAATTTATATAATCGCACATTCAAATGGTGGATTAATAAGTCTTTCGGCATTACATCAAAGACCTCATTTAATAGGAGGGATCATATTTGCTGGTACACCATTTAATGGAGCTCCTGGAATATTTGGTAATTTAAGACATGGTATTTCATTATTATTTAATAAAAGATTACAAGATGATGCATCACATTTTGCTCTACGTACGGTATTCACATTAATGCCACCTAAATTAGATGCTTTCAAACATCCAAATAATTTAAGTAAAAATGCCAATGTTGATTATTTTGATATTGAAGAATGGAAAAATAGTGACTGGTCACTAGTTATTAATGAAGATAATCCAAGATATGATGAATTAGGAAGTAAACAAGAACGTATTGATTATCTTCAAAGAACTTTAGAAGCCGCGAAAAGATTTCATAAAACTTTAGAAAAACCTTTTGAAGATTTTGAATATCCTCCATTATGTACATTAGTTAGTAATAATCATCTTACCAATGGTGGTTATGCAATGGGTAAATGTGATGGTAAACATAGTATCTTATTTGATAGGGCTATCTATACTAGTGGTGATAGTGCTGTTCCCTTTGAAAGTACCAGATTACCTCAAGGAATACCTTTTGAAACCGTTTTTTCAGAATTTTCTCATGGTTCTTTATTAGAAGATGTAGAAGCTGTTGGAAAAGCATTAGAGATCATCTTTAAAAAGTATTAAAACTTGATCATCATATAAGGCAAAATTATTGTTCCCCTTATTAAGAGAGTAGTACTTCTTTAATTACAATAGATACAATTATACTATATGCATATTTAAATATAGACTTGACAATAATTATTTACTTAACAATGTCCCCCCTATTTTTGTAATCAGTTAAGACTTTTTAAGTCGATCTACTAAATAAAAATAAATCAAAGATTTAATCTTTCATAATAAATTGCTTATGTAATAATGTCAAAATAAATAAATTGAATAAAATTGATAAACTCCTCTTTCGTGTGGAATTAGTGAATTTCTTATTATAGATATTCGTGCAACATGTAATTAAAATAATTTCCATATTTGGATAAAAAAAAGATTTTGTCGCATATTTGTTTGTTTATTAAAACTGGAACATTTAGAAACAACTCCACACAACTCCTGAAATTAGTTTATGTGACAAATTTGGTTATTTAATAATTTTATTGTTAGAACTCGTCGTTGTTTCATTAAATTAATTATACAAATTCAAAACAATATATTTTCTTTGTCACATTATGATTGGGAGTGAAGTGTAACGTGTGAATATATTTTTTCCACCTTTTTTTTGTGTAATATTCCGAACGAGCGTACTCAAACAAATGGTTTTTCACATCCTGTTCCTTGTTTGTTTAAGGTCGCATAGCACGTTTTATTTGACAAAAGTTTCAGACCTAAATTTAACTCTTTTCTTATCACCTTTAATTACAAATTACTAAAATAAGTATTTGCACAATGAATTGAAAACAACGAATTTCCTGGGTTTCACACGCATGGGTCGATTAAAAACAGGGAACAAATAGAATACATACATAAATTTATGCAATGTAATATTTGAAAAGACTATCTACATATTATTCTATTTGTGCACTTGATATTGTTTTCTTAACTGAAATTGTCTTTGTAAACATGTAATAAAGTAATGATCTACACGAAACTAATTTGTGCGAATAAGATGATTTCTTGCAAACGCCCGGGAATGATGAAACTTGATGAAAAACAAGGGGTGATGTATTAAGTGTTAATTCTTTATTGAAGAAAATAACGTCTTTACTGTAAGACAAATCAAAAAAATTTTCTATAAATATGGCTTGATTTTATCGTAAGATGTTTCTTCATCCAAAAATAATACATTTCATAAGATCAATATCCCTCAGGAGGGCTCTATTGTTTTATATACAAAGTTTGAAAAAAAAAAAAAAAATACACATACTATAATTCTTCCTTCTAGCAGGCTAGAACTTCTTGTTTTTTAAATATAATATAACTTCGGATTTAGATTTTCATTTTCGTTTTATTTATCTATCAGTCTTTTCTACCTTTTTTTTTTTTAATTTACTAAATCCTAATAATGAAGTTCTCTTCTGCTATTTTCACAATTGTCGCTACATTTATCGCTTCCGTGTCATCGCACACTACAATGTCATTTCCTCCAACTAGGGGACATCCATTAAATAAAAATGCAGCTGTCCAAGACTTTGAATGTATAATGGCACCATTAAATGGTGGATCGGGATGTGCACCTAAAAAATTTCCATGTGGTGGATATCCAAAAGATAAAAAAATCGTTACAACTTTCAAAGCAGGAGAAGTTTTTGAAGTTAAATTTTTTAATCAAAACTTCCCTAAATTAAAAGATGAAGATAAACAAAAAGATCAAGCAAGACATAATGGTGGTTTATGTGAATTTTCTTTATCTTATGATGGTGGTAAAACTTATACCGTTATTGCCTCTTATAAAAAAACTTGTCCTGACATTTTCTTTGAAGGTTGGAAAGTTAAAATTCCTGAAAATGCTCCTTCTTGTGATAGTCCCGGAAATTGTATCTTTTCTTGGAGTTGGATTAATGCTGTTGGAAATCGAGAATTTTATCAAAATTGTGCTGATGTTAAAATTGAGGGAAATGCCACCGAACCTTTACCTATTATTGATATTACAAGAGCAAATTTACCTCCTCTTTTCAAAAAGATTTTAACTCCCGAAGGTGATGATTTAAATAGTGGTAATGCTGTAGGTTCTGGTCCAAGAAAAGAAGATGTTCAAGCTAATTTGGCTTTAAAGATTGGTAATGGCAATAATGACAATAAAAAACCTCCACAAAATGATGATAAACAAGATGGTGATGATACACAAGACGACGATAATAAAAGCCCTCCACAGGATGATGACAATGATAACAAAAGTCCTCCACAGGAAGATGATAACGATAATAATAAACCTCCGCAAAATGATGATGATGGAAATAACGATGATAACAATGACAATGAAAATGACAATAACAATGACGATGACAATGACAAAAATGACAATGACAATGACAATGATAATGAAGACGACAATAATCAAGATATTCCATGTAGTGAAAATGGAACGATGGTTTGTGGCAAAGAAGGTGGTGCTGAATTTCTTACTTGTGATAATGGTAAATTAGTTTCAAGATCTTGTCCTGGAATTTTAGTCTGTACACAAAATGGTAAATCAATCTTTTGTGGTTATCCAAAAAGAAGATAAACCTTCAAAGCCATTTTTCCGTTTCAAACTTTGTATATTTACATAAAAAATAGAAAATTTTATATAGATGTATTATTTTTGGATCAAAAAAAAAAAAAAACTTTATTATGTATTTTTAAAAAAATTCATGTAATGTAATTTCTCCTTTCATTCTTTTGTTAAAAAAAATTTTTTTCGTGATTTAATACGATCCCTCAATAGAAATAAAAAATGAATTTCAAACATAAATGCTTAGTCAAGTTGTTATTGGTTTTTTTAAGTTTATAATGTAATTTTCACTTTTTTTTTCAGGGACGTAAACACTATTCATAAACCATTGCGTATAACTACAAAAATGAATTTATACTACAGTGATGAATGATTCAAAAGCTAATAGTTAACTAAGAGTACTTGTTATAATCAAATGGTAAAGGAATATATATTTATAATCTCTTAGTTATTAAATACAGTGAACTATTCGGTTATAAAATTGGCCAATAAAAATATGGATATGTGATCATTCGCACACTTTCCGAACCAACAAAAATTGTCTATAGTTACCATATTATACATTTTATTATATTGATTATTTACATATTTCTTGTTTTTTTTTGTTTATTGTGCAAACAAATGGATTTTACTATGTAAAATATATAATTAAATGTTTGAATTTTTCTAACTATCACCGGGGGGTGATGATCACCGATGACTGAAATTATGACGCATTAAAAAAAATAGAGTGCCGGTAAAATTTGATAATTCTGGCCAACGGTGATGATCACCTCCGGTGATTTGAAGTAAAAAACATTAATGTTTATAATTTATAAATATATATAGATCTTTGGACAACAAGAAAATCAGTTTTACAATACATGATTCAGTATAATAAAAATTTGGTAAATAGATTTGCTATATTCAGAATTAATTGTATAGTAATATATTTATTAAATAAAATTTAAATATATTTTTATAAACTGAAATTATATATATAATTAAAGATTTTACTTTATATAATTATCTGACCATATATTTTTATATTTGCTATAATAAAATAGTAATTTTTTATGCATTTTTAATATATACAAAAGTTTTGCACTTTATATAAATAAGATAAATAAACTGCAAAGAATATAATTAATAATTATAATATTGGAAAAATACTTACTTAAATTTTATTATAATAAATTTTATAGGTAATCTTAATGCTTATTAGAAGTAAAATTCATTAAAAATAAAAATTCATTAGAAGTAAAGTTTATCTATATCATGTAATTTATATTTATTATATTAAAATTTGAATTTTTTGTTTTAAAAATAACTAATAATTTTTATTAATAAAAGTATTTAAAAAAAGTTTACTCAAATACTTAATAAATATATACTAAAAAAAATTTATTGACTAATTAAATTTACAGTTAATCAGATAAACTAATTTTATTTATTGCATAATCTTCTTTTAATGTAATCAAATTTCATTTATTTTTAATATATATTATATTTCAGCTCGCTGTTCCTTTTTAACAAATTTTTTCTTTACTAATTTCTTTTTTTTCAGGTTTCTAATCTTAAGTTTTATAAATAGTAAGTTTCAACTATTAGTATTACTTTCAAACTTTTTTTTTTATTTAATTATTTTTTTCTTTTATTTTTATAAGCATTTTATATATAATTTTGTAAATAGTAAGCTTTAACCAGTTTTATTATTTTTTTTTAAATTATTTTTTTTAATTAATTAACAATAAGTTTTTTTTTCTTTTGGATATAACTTCCAAACTTATTTCAAAAATATTTCAATTTATAAGTAAAGTTACTGAAAAAACTAGAGGATTTTAGCAAGTTTGTAAAATGCCAAAATAGCTAATATTATATAAAAATCTTATTAAGAAGTTAGCAAAACTTTAAAAAAATATGAAACTTATTATAAATGCCAAAATTGCTAAAATTTTACTAAAATTATAATAAAATTATAAAATTATAGTAAAATTTTAAAGAAACTAATTGTAGAATTATTATAGAGAAATTTAAGTAAATAACTTAACTTATAAGTATTTTAAAAGTTTTTTTTATTCTTTTTAACCATTTTTTCCACTTATTAGAATGTAAAAAAAATACTAAAAAACAAAAAATATTAAGATAAAAGTTCTTTAGTATATTATAAATTTTTTTATAAAAATACTCTAAGATTTATAGGTCAAAAAATGAAAAATCAGGTATCAATTAGTTACCAATTAGTCACCAATCAGATACCTGATAAATAGCTAATTGATGATTGTCAAATACTGTTACCAATCTGGCAGTTTACTAACTTTTGATCCAATAATCAAAAAAGAATGTAATATAGCTCATTGGAATCATTTTTGATTATTGGATCAAAAGTTAGTAAATTGCCTGATTGGTGACTATCAATTAATACCTAATTTTTCACTTTTTGATTTAGTATGATTTAAGAAAATACTTTTTCTTTGATTTTATCTGATAAGAACTTTTTATAAATGCATATTTTTATAAGGTGGTAAATTTTAATTACTTTTTTTTTTAATTTTTATTTATACTAATTATTACTGATTTTATTTTTTTTTTAAAAAAATATTTTTTTATTTATTATCTAATAGAAACTTTTTGTAAATGGTATAAGTAATAAAATATTATCATAAAATTCTGTATAATCCTAATAAAAGTTAGAATAGATTTTATTGCAGATTATATTTATATAAATTAATTTAAGATAAAAAGTTATAAAATGATATTAATCAATTTACAGTGTATTGCAAAAAAAACTGGAAAACTATTTACATGATAAAAATATATGTTATACATCCAAAATAAATTTAATTTACATTATGTAAATTGTATAATAAACCTAAGACTCAAGACTATATTTTAATATCTTTTGAAGTTATAAATACTTCATTATCTTTATTTGCAATAATTATTTATTTTAAATTAAAAATATAACAGAAAATTAAATTACATTTATAAAATAATAGTGGATTAGATTTAATTTAAAATACTCAAAAATTATTAAGAATAATGCCAAAAAATAAATATCAAAAAATTTGCAGTAAAGAAGCATTTATGATAAAATGATGGGAGTTTTATTCTATAAATTGTCACAATTTCAGTATATAGTAAAAAATACTAATAAATGGTTCAAATTATAAAAATATGTATAGTTTACTTAAAATAAAATTGAATATTGGGACTATATTTTGATATCATTTAGGACCTTAGTACATTTTTACTTTTTGAGAAAATTAACTACAGTCCAAGTAGTTGTATTTATTTTTTTTCTGGTTTAATTTATTGTATGGAAGTGAGTAGGGTGAAGGGAGAATTTATTCTAAACTTCAGCTTTTTTTATATATTTATGTTTTTTATCATGCGAATTAATAAAAGTGAATAGAAAAAAAATTTATCTATAATACAGATAAGTTCAGATTATGTAAGAATGATCCAGATAATCCAAATGAAAATATTACGAATATTTCAGATGATAGATTTCTAATCAGATTAGATAAACGAAAGATGGATTTTAATTAGATCAGATAAAATGGTGACAGATATCTTTGCTATACCTTAAGTAAATTTTACCCCTAATCTGGTGACTGGTAAGCATTAAGATTATTCTTTAATTTAAATAGGAGATCTCTTTGATTTATATTTGAATTGTAAAATTTTTACTAGTTTAACAGAATTATTAATACTTTTAATTATATCTTATTGTAAATTTTATTTATTATATCCTTTATATCTTTAGAAATATGGTGCTAAAGTTATAAAACATCTATTTTGGCATATCACACTAAATAACAAATAATTTTTCCTTTTATGAATTTTTTAAAATTCAACTTATTAAGATAAAATTATTAGATAAAATATACAAATCCAATTTACTAACTTTTGACTTAGTGATCAGAAAAGAATAAAATATAGCTTATTGGAATCGTCTCAGTAAGATGAATCTAATGGTAGTAAAATTGCATTTCTAGGATTAATAGTTGATAAGAAATTAAATTAAATATAAATAATATGGGTAACATTATTTGACGACCCGTCACCATGGCGATACTCAAATTTTTTTTTAGTTGTACTACGTAATTTTTATACTTTAATTTTTATGACATTTATAATAATTTGTAACCGTAATTTGAATAGCAATTATAGGTATTCATGAACGAAATTTGACTCATTTTTTATTGGATTTATTCATATACTGTACTACTGTACTTCGTTAGCTTTAATAGTAATAATAACAGTAAATCACATGTGATTAGAAGCATATTAACGCATTTGAATAAAGCTTACCTTTCAAACACTTCATTCTCTTTATTAGCATTATCCAATTTTTCCTTACAAGTTTTGCTATTATGTCCCTTTTGTTTACACAATTTACATGTGTATTGAGTTTTAGTATTAGATAACTCTAAAGTATTTTTCATTCTCTTGTTTGATTTAGGACGACCTTTTGGCCTTCTTTCAACAGGATTTCGAATATTCATGATATTATCACTTTCGCCGTTGTTATTACTGTTACTAACACCACCATTACTATTATCAACAACAATTCTTGGCTGTAATTTTTTTTGAATTGACAGAAAAACCTCACAAAGTTCTCGGTAAGTATCCTCATTGTTGTTTTCAATTACATCAACCATTACTTTTCTTCCTAAACCCCAAAGTTCTCCAAACTTACGTTTTTTTGATATAGATTTAGTTATTTCAGTATTTATTGCCGAAGCTCCAACTTGAATAGCAGATCCATTTGAATTCAAAAATTGTGTTGGCAGAGAATGCGTCTTTAATGCCGACATTTTCATTGAAGAAATGGCAACAAATTCTTTATTTGATATATCAGTCCCTTGAAGTATATCTTTATACCAACGCTGGTTTACCAAACCAATGTGAAATCTAGCAGTAGACGTAAGAGTCATTACACGGTAAAAATGGCGACATGGATAACCATGAGTCTTGTTGATCATACACGTGCAGAGAAAGGTACCATTATTCAAAAGACATACAAAGTGGGATGTCTTTTGGCTTGTTAAATATACAACCTCCCATACTTCAAGAATCAATGAGGTATCTTCTAAAAATAAACTTATTTGTACTTGTGGGCAATCA